CCTCACAGCACCCTGGTTGAGAAAGGCTGCTCTGGAGTAACTGCCACTGCACTTGCAAAGTGCACAGTCTATTTGCCTTTAGGAAATCTACCCCAATGTGTCCGTTTAATTTGCCTTGTTATCACTAGTTCCTATGATCATTGGTTCCTTTTATCACTGGTTCCATTGGCTCGTGTCCCCGCAGTGTCACATAAGCTGACATAGGACTGCATTTGGTGTTTATTGAGAAAATATTTTGCGTTGCTCAAAACAACCAATCAGATGCGTTCTTTCATTTTTCGTCATGCGCTGGCAGATGTATCTCTGAACAGGAAGCTTACTGGAAATGTCTACATTGTGTAATACAGTACATAACTTTAATGTTTTATACATCTGCACACCAGCGTGACATGTAACAATTAACATATGTTCACCCAGGCTGGCTATCAGGAATGGAGACCGCTCACAGTCCTATGTTCCTGTGTTTCTGATTAGCATTTGCATTGTGTTATGATTTGGTTGTAAATTCATCAGGCTGTACTAAGTGTATACTACAGACTTGTGGTCCTCATGGATTTTTTTTAAAGGAGCCTATAAATCAAATTGACGTTTGAACGGCTGAAGGTCATTATTTCCTTCAGTTATGGGATTGACTGTCAGCCCAGCACAGTCAGAGTGCATTTGCTAAATGACTCAATGTACATGTGAAATAGAAAGTTTGCTGTTTTCTATTAGACATGCTTCCTACGGTAAATAGGCAGAGTAAACTAACATCCATCTACTAATTACGCCGTGATTTCTAATCATTTATACTTTTCTTGTATGGGTTCATCATAGTTGGCAGCATTTTTCTATAATTTGCAGGGACACTTTGTTGGTGAGCCCGGGAATATTGTTTGCTGACGAACGCAGAACATTACATTCTCCGTTTTATTACCTCCTGCTGAACTGCTTTGTGAAAGACTTTTTATTTAATTTAAAATACTGGTCTTCCATAAATATCATTTCAAAAGCCCACTGAAAATGGAAATGTGATAAGAGCTGAATCTAATTCAGAAAAAGAAGAGATTTTATCATGCACTTAGGCAAAACTGAAAACGTGGACAATTCTGGAGAAAAATATTTCCCGACACAAATATATAAAAAAAAAAAAAAAAACTCAGGACATTCCCTGGCAATCAGGGATAGTCAATAACTTAGTTACTTATGTCCTGAAATAGCACAGTGAGTTAACGTCAGAACTGTAATGCATCAGAAATTGCATTATATCATGTCTTCAATGTTGCTTTAAAAAATCCCCATTGCTGTATTCAGCATTAAAAACAGATGTAATATATTTTGTGATTTCTACAGTGATCCACTGTCAGCAACATTGTTTTAAGTGTATGTAAACCCCAACAATGTGCTTCTCTTACTTGCTTTTTTGGTCTGTTAAATATACCATATGAAGCATTGTATTATTTCTGTTCAATAAGTGCAGTTGATCCTGCCAGAAATCTTGTGAGCTTCCTCTCCATGTGCTACACTGTTCTCCATTAGCATTGTTGCCAACTCTGTCTCTGGACTATATAATGCCTCTCCCTATGTTATGGCGACCAGGAGATGGCGAGGTATTCTTTTGTCCTAAATATGTCCTGGCCTGGAGTGCCAGTGCTGCTCCTCTATAGATACATTGAGTTTGATTTATTAAAACTGGAGCACTCTGAATCTGGTGCAGCTTTGCATGGTAGCCAATCAGCTTATAGCCTGAGCTTGTTCGATTAAGCTTTGACACAAAAACTGGAAGTTGATTGGTTTCTATGCAGAGCTGCACCAGATTTTGCATGCTCCAATTTTAGTAAATCAACCCCAGTATGTTAAGTGAGGGGTTGTCACCCTAAGACAGGAAATATGGTACTGGCAGAATCATTACCAGAAAATAAAGAAAAAAAGCCTGTAAAAATATTGCCGCCACCACATCTAAGGACCGGTATGCTGTAATATAATATGATTTTAGTCTTGAGTTAAGATACGCTTTAAATCGAACTCCTGGCAAGCAAAAGTCAACCATAGCTCCTGCTGGAAATATTACCATGGCAGCTGGACACAGCAGTCATTCCGTGTAATATTGTAGAAAACTACCTCAGCCTTGTTAGTGCAAATCACAGCCTCCCTATGTGATCTGATAACATCAAGGGCTGTAGGAAACACGTAATGTGAAATTAAGGAAAGGGGTTTTGTAAAGATTCTTTTTTAATTAACTATAATTAGCCTCTCATTAACCTCATCCGTTCTCTTCTCTCCTGTCATTTCACAGTTATTTTTTTTCTAACTGATGGTATGTGAACATTTGTCTCGCTTTTATTTTTGTAGTAAAAAAAAGTTACCCCCCTTTTTTTTTTTTTTTTTTTACATCTATATAACTTCACTAAGTGTTGTAGAAGTAACAAAATTTAGTACTACGATAGACAGGATAAGCACAATAAATTATGAAAGAAACCTGAAAAAGTGCACTTTTTATTCTTTTACTTTATTGCTTTTAAAAAAATGTAGAAAATAAAATATTCGGTGGACTATGTCAAAGAAAAATCTTCTTTGTCCTAAAGAAAAAAACAAGGCTTATTTACTAAAGGAGTTGAGAATCTGCACAAGACAATTTGTGCGAGTATTCACTTAATTTTATCCAGTCATATATAAAAAGAAAATGACTTTTTTCATTTGCACATTATTGGGTATTCAAAGTGTAAATAAATTTGCTTTTAACATGATTGATGATTCCCAACTCCTTTGGCAAATCAGGCCTTTTAAGTAAAGAAACAGTTATTACCAAATGTAAAAATATGTCTGGTCCACAGAGGCTAAAGCAGCTTCACAAATATAGCTAGAATAATGAGGTTCTGGTAATAACTTTGGTATTACTATTATGTGTCCTGTATTTTGTATATGAAATCCTAAACCAAATAGTATAGAGTTAAGCTAAGGAACCACAAAAAGCATTATACATTCTGTATTTTTTGCAGCTGATTTGCATCGGTAATAAAGGCTTTAAACACCAAATGATGATATGCAGTTGTGAACATTAAACAAACTTTTTCCATTAAGTTGAAAACTCTGAGTCCGATTCTATGTGGCTGAGTTACTAAAGGAGTTGGAAGGCTGTATGAATATTCACTTTAATTATCCAATCATGTGAAAATCGTGCTCACTTTAAATTCCCAAATGTTTGCAGATGATTTTCAGATAATTGAATAATTAACCAAACATTCACGCAATTAAACTAAAAGCTCTTGTGTTACAAATTCAGTTACTATTCAGTTACTATGTGATGCAAAAACGTCCTTTAACCACTTGCCCTTCAGAGGATTTATCCCCCTTCCTGACCAGGCCATTTTTTGCGATCTGTTATTTTAACTGACAATTGCGCGGTCATGCAACACTGTACATAAATCAAATGTATGTCCTTTTTTCCCCACAAACAGAGCATTCTTTCGGTGGTATTTCATCACCTGTGCATTTTTTATTTTTTGCGCTATAAAAAAAGACCGACAAATTTGAAAAAAAAAAATATTTTTGACTTTTTGCTATAAAACATATCAAGTAAAAAATTTTAAAAAAAATCAAATTTCTTCATAAATTTAGGTCAAAATGTATTCTGCTATATGTCTTTACTAAAAAAAAATCCCAATACATGTAAATGAATTGGTTTAAGTGAAAGTTATAGCATTTACAAATGCCAGTGTATATATACTGAAATTTGTTTTTTTTATACTAGTAAAGGCGGCAATCAGCGACTTATAGCGGGACTGCGGTGGGCATTCTGACATTCTGGGTGGAAACTGACTAACTGCCACTGACATCCCAATGAAACTAATACAGTGATTAGTGCTTATAAAAAGCACTGACACTGTACTAATGACGCTGGGCAGAACGGGGTTAACATCTGGGGCGATCAAAGGGTTAACTGTTTGCTGTTTTACATAATGTGCTGTGTGTGTTTTACTAGGGAAACATGCTGCTGTGTAATTCTCTGCTGTGCAGAGAAATACACAGCAGCATGTCCTTGCTGGCAGGAGAGAGACCTGTGTTATTTACACAGGTTTCTCCCCTGTCAGTTTTACTTGGCAATTGCCGGCCGCCAGCGGGGAATCTCCGGCTGGGACCTGGTGATTGACATCTGTAGCCACCAATGGCGACATGGGTAGGGCAGTGCGTGCACCAAAAATACAAATAACGTATGTATACATGATTTTGCACCGCCCTGTAGCAGTACTTCTACCATAGGGCGGCGGGGAAGTGATTAACTTCCCTGACTGAGCCAAATCTTCCATAATTTGTGTATCACACATTCCCCCTCTCATGCACTGCAGATCACAATAGGAAGGTTTCAGCAACAGAGGCAGTGCTGCCAATCCAGAAAGAAGTGGGCGGGACTAAGTGTGGTCAGGCTTGTGAATCAGCAGTATAACTACTCCCCCTGCAGGTTTGTGAATCAGCAGTATAACTACTCCCCCTGCAACATCTCCTTATCTCACTGTAGTGCAGGAAGGAATAGCCTACATGAGGGTGAAAAATCTGCTCTGAATTCAAAGCAGCGCAAAGTTGTTGCCACCTCATCACAGGAAGCTTCATTAGGTGAACTTACTGGCAGGAGCAACAAAGATTTGTGGGATGTAAGAGGACTAAAAGAAAACTGTAGGTGCAAATGCATCCATAATTAAGTGCTGCAGCACATATATTTTTTTTAATGGGAGGACATAGTTCTACTTTAACTCCTTCAGTAAATCAGCTCAATTGTAACTCGTTCAGAAAAAAAGACAAAGATTTTTCAGTTTTTCAAAGTCAGGCAAAGCTTTCATTCTCTGACATCCTTGATGACAGATTTGACCAGACTTACTGAAACACTATAACTGAAATATCTTATCTTTGGAAATGATTATGGTGAAGTGTATTGCTTGTTGCATAAATCTTAGCAAGGGATGGTGAGCAGAATATGATTCCAGCCTGTACATCACCTCACCTAAATAGCCCAGGCACCGTCAAGCGTTTACATTTGAAACCCCAGTAAAATTATCCCCATATCCATGCAGCAAATTCACGGTTTCTTTTTATTTCTCTTTCTAGAGACCTCAGTGAAAACCAGATCCAGGCCATCCCAAGAAAGGCGTTCCGTGGAGCAGTAGATATTAAAAATCTGTAAGTATTTTCCTGTAGAGCTGTGTCGTTTGGGGTTTATGACATTGTGTAATGCAGTGCATACCCTAATACCACAGAACTAATGTTTTATGGGATTCAAACAATATTTTGACCTCTTTCAAAAATATATACCAGCAGAAGTTCTGCACAGGAAATCATTCTTACATGTACAACTCATAAAGTGCGATTTCTAATCTCACTCTCCTGTTTTTCATAAAAATGTTTTAAGAGATGCAATAAACATTTTAACCCTTTCAAGTGAAACTAAGAGTTAATTACTGGAACGAAAATTAATAGGTGACAGAGAGTGTATGTATGTATGTGTGTGTGTATATATGTGTATATATATATATATATATATATATATACATATACTGTCTATACACACACAGTGCTCAGCATAAATACACCCCTTTTGAAAGGTAACATTTTATTCAATATCTCAGTGAGCACATGTACAATTTCCAAAATTTTGACAAAACTGAGTTTTCTAGAATTTTTGTTTAGCTCATTACATGAAAGTAAAGTTAATAATATAACTTAGATTACAAAATCTTCAGTTTTACTAAATTAGGTGATGAAAAAAATGAACACACCCCACAACGAAAACTACTACATCTAGTATTTTGTATGACCTCCATGATTTGTAAGGACAGCACCAAGTCTTCTAGGCATGGAATGAACAAGTTGATGACATATTGCAATAGCTATCTTTTTCCATTCTTCAAGAACTACCTCTTTTAGAGCCTGGACGCTGGATGGAGAGTGATGCTCAACTTGTCTCTTCAGAATTCCCCAGAGGTGTTCAATTGGGTTCAGATCAGGAGACATACTTGGCCACTGAATCACTTTCACTCTGTTCTTCTGAAATGCAACAATGGCCTTAGATGTGTGTTTTGGATCATTGTCATGTTGGAAAAGTGCACAATGATCAAGGGCATGGAGTGATGGTAGTATCTTCTCTTTCAATATAAAGCAGTACATCTGTGAATTCATGATACCATCAATGGTACCATGGTGCCTTTTATTCACCATGCATTTTTCTTTGTACTCCTCACCTTTGGGATACCATACAGTTTTGAAGCCATCAGTTCTAAAAACATTTATCTTTGTCTCCTCACTCAAGAGTACAGAGTCTCAGTAGCCTTCTTCTTTTCAGCATGGGCCCTGGCAAATTCTAGGCAGACTTTTTGGTGCATGGGCTTTTGCCCTGCAGTGTACGCCATATTGTGTCATGGGAAACAATCACCCCCCCAGTTTGGCTTTCTACTTTTTTGCTAACTGCAGTGGACTTGCATGGTGATTTTCTTCAACTCTTCTCATCAGAAGATGCTACTTTCAAGGTGTCAACTTCCATGGACTGCCTGAACGCCTCTGTGAGATAGTTGCATTGCCAACTTTGTTAGATTTATGTAGCACTTTTGCTACAGTATTCTGACTGTTAAGTAAAGCTTTGCTGATCTTCTTGTAGCCTTTACCTTTCTTTTGTAAAGAAATTATTTTCTTTCTCAGGTCTTGTGACATTTCTCTTCCATGTGGTGCCAATGCTGACAGCATGTAATGGGAAGGGGTTTTCTTTGTAACATCCTTTTATAATCAATTGCCTGCTGGACAGCAACTTAATGAATAATTAGACTCACCTGTAGTTGAATTCTTGTTAATTAGAACTTTGTTGTCTAAAATGTAGCTTTGCTTCTACGACTTTCACTGGAGTGTATTAATTTTTGCAATATGGTCTTGAATGAATTTGATAGGAAAAATACTTTTTTGTGTGTGCAAATTAACACATTTTGTTTGCAATCAATGGTCTGCATTTGTGGGAGTATTTTGTAGTATAGTGTCCCATAGAAAATGTTGATTCTGAAAGGAAAGTAAAGGTTTTCTGACAAAATCTGTTGGGGTGTAACCATTTATGCTGAGCACTGTATATATTTAAAACTGCTTTGCTTTTGTTCATTTTGTGAATGTATCTATAATTTTTGAAATTAAAAAGGTATTGTATACTACTAAAGCCATAGATGGAGCAAAATTTGAACGGTTCAGCATTGACCTCTCCAATTTCGATCCATGTATGGACAGGCTTGTTGTACACAAGTCAATCTATTGATCGACTTGTGTACAATCACCCTGTCTGGGTTTTTCCTGAACGATCAGTGCCACTGGCTATAGCCAGCAATACTGAACATTATATTCTGACAGCGGGGAAGGTTCCCTGCCGTCAGAACACAATAGCACAGCAGTAGTAATTCCCCATCCAGATTGAATGCGTGGTTGGGAGAATTGGATATTTTTTTATTGTACAACCCACTGGTTGATCAAAAAAAATTATTAATGTTTAGCCAGCCTTACACATTAAAAAAGATATTCAATACGAGTGAAAACTTAGAAAAAAGCATCCTTTGTATTTGAGATTTGGCATTTTTAGTAATGAGCTGTTTACAAATAAATGTGATTTTTCTAAAACCTTGTCATTTGATTTAGAGAGAATCTTAACCTAAAAGTAGTGTAGATTTTTCACTGATCCTATTTCTGCATTTACACAACAAATATTAAAACACATGGCCTCATTTCTGAGACCTAAAATAAAGCATACTGAAACCCAAAAACAAAAGAAATATATTGCTGTATTTGTATACCAGTCCTTGAATGTTGAGGCTGCATTAATTTTCTTGCTTTCAGGATTTTTTCTCAATATTTTCACCTTGTGATTCTGCCACTAACACACTTCCAGTACTAGGATGAGAGCACGTAAGATGGCCATAGATGTATTGAATCTTGGCCAGTTCAGCAAGGACCAGTTGAGATTTGATCCATCTAAGAGCAGGCTGGTTGTACCATCAATCGACTTCAGTACAAGCAGCCTGTTGGATATTTTTCATGCAATCACTTCCAGCAGGCTATAGCCACCAGCAGCGATCATTGTGTTCTGCCTCTGAGGATAGCTCTATGAGAGCACAACACAATACCACTGCTGGAGGGATTCCCCCATCAACACTAACTGTGGTGGAGGGAAAGAAAATTGTATAATCCATGGTTTGCTTTACTCACCCTTCATATCAGGAAGACAGCCATGAAATCATACTACAGATATCCACACCCTCCATTGTCCTTAACATAGAGGGGCATGGTTCTGTAGTCCTCAGAGATAGTCAAGAACAATGCTAATTGATTTCAGCGCAGCACAGGCAAAGAGTTCTGGAAGTTATTAGCTCACAAGATTTTTGGCACGATCCACAGGCATTTTTTTAACTTATCAAACAGATATAACACATAACTTTGAATGATATATTTAAGAGACCAAAAGAGATAAAATTGTTCACTGTTAGGCTTTATATACACTTTAATGTATGTCCTAGTGCTTGTGTATGCAGTGCATTCAGCATCTGTCTGCCTTTAGACTATAAAGTAGGTGTTGTACTCACAAACGACAATATAGTCAAGGCACATCATAAAAGAACAGCTGGATCAACACCGCGCTGAGTAACAGTCCGCAATAGGGAGTTTAGACATCCAAAAGCTGACGCGTTTCGAGGACTTGCCTCTTCCTCGAAACGCGTCAGCCTTTGGATGTCTAAACTCCCTATTGCGGACTGTTACTCAGCGCGGTGTTGATCCAGCTGTTCTTTTATGATGTGCCTTGACTATATTGTCGTTTGTGAGTACAACACCTACTTTATTATTTTTTATTAAACATTTTTTATGGTAATGCACTAGGCCTGTGCACCCTCTTTTTGTTCTTTCCCCATTCAGTATATTTGGATTCCCCCGGTCCATTTGAGGGCAGCAAGGTGTGCATGTTCCAGGACATTCTTAATGTGGTTGTAGCATCGAGTCCATCCCCAAGCGCAGGAGCATTTGTGTTTGCTGCCTTTAGACTATGTTCCATCATGCTTTTATATGTTCTATTGAGGTCTTCTTGTAAGCTCAAAGCCTGGTGAACTATACTGTTTTGTGTTTTAGACCTGGCAGTAGTGGATATGGGTCATTTGGCTCTTTCAGGCTCCATAAACATGAACATGAAAAAGGGGATCCCCATCCTCCCGCAGCATCCCCTTTTGACCCATTTTTTGTACATGGTTTAGAACAGTCACTGCGTGGTGGACTCTTTATACAACAATGATGACAAGTCAGAGGGTGATTCCATCAGAGGAAAAGTTTATCACACTCAGGGATGTCTATCAACTATTTAAAAAAAAAAAAGAAAAAAAAAAGCTGTGTATGTGGCTATGCATTTAAAGCCAGATATATCTATAACTATTACCACCACCTTTCAGCAAGAATTGGCCCTATAAAAGGCAGAGATGCACTAGCATACCCAGCATATCAAAGAGCTAGAGACAGCAATATAGACAACACAATGCAGTTGACCCAAACCAAGTAAATTACAAGAATCTAGTATCTCCAGTCTGTCCAAGAGTCTACATGATTTAGAAAATCGGTCCCAACAGAATACTCTTCGAGTTGTGGGACCACGAAAACTATCTGTTTGTCAGATCTGGTATGTTTTTTCATGGATGTTATACTACAGGTTAGAGAGGGCACATTGCCTAGACCCCCATACCCTGGAATGATAGTCACTGCTGTCACATAACATTCCAATCAGTTAATCTCCTATACTGGAAATAAGGGTTGAGGTTGGTATCTGTGGTAAAATACAAATTGTCAAATTGAAACAATTCTTCTCTTGAAAAACATTGTTAAAATGGAGCACCGGGCAACGTATAAATGGTAAATTTGTTCAATGGTAATTGTGATCTACACATTCACTGTTGGCTCCTAGGTAACCATATACAAAGCACTCCTATACAAGGACATTTGAATGCTTTGCTAGTTTTAATACAGTAAAACAGATACATTTTATTACACTGATCTATACAAAGGCATATACTATAGAAAAAATTTACTGAAAGTGGAGGTTCCCTTTATTTAATTTATTTATTTCAAGTATTTAAATAGCACCGTCAATTTCTGCAGTGTTTTTTTATATATATATATATATA